TCAAGGCGTCTATCCTGAGAGCTAATTAAGGAGCCATTTTTCTCAGAAATAGTCTCACTTATGAATTGCCTTCTCCCGCCCGATTCTGTGATGAGTCTAAAGAGTTGCCTAGTGTTGCCTATCGCCAATGCTTTTTCCATCTCTTTCGCCTTTGTCACCCACCACTGTTCACGGTCCTTGCGGAGACTTTTAGTAAGTTTCCTTTTGTGCAGCTTTCGCTCCTCATTGAATTCGGAGCTCGCCGGAATAAGTCTTCTAGCATCTATCAGTTCGGATGAGGCAGTCGAAATCCAGTGGTTTTTACTCACCTTTGGATTTGTCTTATTCACAGCTTTTACAGCTGTATCTATAGCTGACTGAATATTCTTCCAGGCTTCTCCAGGGTGAGCACAGCTGTCGATTCAGATATGCGTTTAGCTAGTTCTTCCTCAAATAGGGATTTAGTTTCCTGATCGAGCTGGGGGCGTGATGGTTTTACCGCCAGCTGTTTCCTACGTCCGTTCAGTCGTAAGCACACACGAGCCCGGACCAGTGCGTGATCGGTATCTACACACGTGTTCCAGAAGGAGCGACAATCTCCTACCGACCCACGCCAACGATAGCTTATTGCTATGTGGTCTATTTGTGTCCAGCGTTGGTTTGATGATGGGGGTCGCCAGGTTAAACAGTGTCTCTCCTTGTGTTTAAAGTTAGTGCTTACAAGAAACAAATGATTATCTGAACAGAACTGTAGGAGACGGTCACCGTTGTCGGTTCGCTGGCACGGAACTCCATAGGTGCCACCGACATCCTTCTCAGATTGACACAATTTCCCTACTTGAGCGTTGAAGTCACCAGCTAGAACGACTATATCTGAGCGTTTAGCCTTTCTCACCAAACTAGACAGCTTTTGGTAGAACTCATCCTTCGTTTCATCCGAACTGCAGTCAGTGGGGGCGTAGGCGGAGATTACGAAAAGGCATCGGCGAGTAGTGCAGTCCTTTCTCCTTCTTACTGATCCGTTCAGACGGACAGCACACATTCGGCTATCTACCGGGATCCAGTCAAGCAATGTCTTTTCTGCCCTAGTACTCAGAGCTATCCCTACGCCAGCTAATCCCGTGAACTAGCTGTGGCATCTCCTGACACCCTCAAGGTGAATTTTGAAGATTCATCCTGTTGGCCAGGTGGGGTTAGGTGAATAACCACACTTGGGTCTTGTATGCGTGTTTCTGAAACACAACATACATCAATGGCTCGAGATGCCAGGGTCTTAGCTAGTGATGCTTGTTGTCCTATTTGGCAAAGTGTCCTTACATTAAATGCTCCTATATGAAATTGGTGGCGTGGCTTTAGGAGACTATCCGTGGTGGTTTTTTGGCTTTCGTCGTTTTTAGTGGACACAGAGTGAAGAGGGAGTGAGGAGCCATCAAGTAGAGGAGTTGCATCACTGGGGGAAGGTAAGGTAATAGAGATGAAGATGAAGACAAAGATAAGTGAGGATTAGAGAGGTTTTGTGTGCGTTTTGGATTGTGAGGGCGATTGTTACTTCCCGGCTGCCCACACCGTGGAAGTTGGTTGCGTGACCGCAGAGCCCAGGGGACAACTGCTTGAGGCCGGTCACACGCGGCCTGTTTTTGTTCGTTCTTTGTTGTTTTGTGTGCCTCAGTAGCATACTTATCACTCCCGCCCTGTGACACGGCAGCAGGAAGCGCGGTCGTTGTTAATCCGGGCCACGGCCGATCCGGCATGAAATTTTGTGAATTTGTTTGGATCATGGTATTGGATGAGGTAGCTGCTTTTTGTTTAACCGCTATCCAAACAACCTGCCTGGCATGGTAGAACCTCAAGAGACATAAGTCTCAGCCAGTATAGCTTGATTAGGTCATTGCGGTGTTCAAGCCCGACCACCACGTCAAGGTAGCAGCTTTCGGTCGGGCATAGAAAAAGTACTTGGATAGGACAATGTTATGCACATTTTCACAGCTTTGATCCTCTCCAGTACAATAGAAATTTAGTAAAGACCCTCAGCCACAGAGTTAGTTAGAGCTATATGCTCAGAAGAAGTAACTGAGGATCAATTAGGCGTTGTATATGATACTTCGATTGATCGAAAATAGCTATCCCGACAAATTTATCAGGAAACATATGACTAATAAAGCTGAAGAGGACTACACTTAGAAAGATTGACCCAGGTAAGTTAAATAACCTTTTTAGCTCAGCCAAGCATTGCATTCACTTGCATGTAATCATCACACAATACGGTGAGTGGGACAGGTTGAGAGTATTAGAAAGTATTATAGTTAGGTGGAGAAACAGGGGGGCGGAGCTTGATTACTGAATCTTTGTTTATCGATTTAACACCGGGCAAGTGCAACGCCTATACCTGGAGATATGGAACGTGACAGCAAACAACAAGGAGAAGTGGGAAAGAGAGAGGGAGAGAAATGGGGAAAATATATGAAAGAAATATTGTAAAGCTGTGTGACTAAAGTGACAAAACCTATGATTCATGTGACCGTGAAGGATAAGCTACCACTGCTGGCCTCATCAGTGTGTATTTATCAATTCACCTGCTCGTGTGGAGCCAGGTATGTTGGCCGTACCCAGCGTTCGCTTTCCAAGCGTATCACCGAACATTTACCAGCATGATTTTACAAAGGAGAAAAACGATGTCCCCACAGCTCCATCTTAGAACATCTAATAGAATCTGGACACCAAGCTACACCCCAAACAAACTTCAAAGTCGTCTACAGAGTAAGAAGTAGTCTTCCTAAAGGTGTACGAATCAGACTTCTTCAAACTGAAGATGCAATGGCGATTCACTTGCTAAGTCCTGAACTCTGCATACAGAAGAAGTTCGTTCAATCATTGCACTCGCGATGGACGTAATCCATCTTATTACCCGACAAGTAAATTCTACCTAATCTATTTTTCTTCTGTCTCTTTATTAGTATCGTTTTGTCTTCTCAATTGTAATATTTTACATTTTCAACTTTCTTGTTCTCTACCCCCACCCGGTTTAATTTCTACACCTCACTACCACTGTTACTTACTTGACCAACGCTCAATTTCTAGTCATATATGTTACGTCATCCAACCTAGTTGCTCAATTGTAGTTCTAATTTAAATAGCATTATTATCTACCCCACTTCTACTTAGTCTCTACCTGTAATTACCTGTGTTGCTAACCTGACCTAACTTGAAATATTTTAGTCAATTATATTACGTCATCTGACTTACTAACTCAATCTTACTTTAGTTGCTGTCCAATTAACCTTGTTTCTATATTAGATCATTCTTGTACTACCTGATCAATTATCTAAACTTGACAAACCTCATGTACACACACACAAAATGATTTATGTAAAAATGCGATTGTACCACTATGTGTATGAATTCGCTGTCGAACAAAAGTGTCTCTTCGCTGAACGTCTTCTCTTTTTCATAAAGTGACATCGTTATGAGTTGCAATAATTTGTTCTCGAAACCTTGTCGTCTAGTTATTAATACTGCGTCATCACTGTATGTGTGATATTTAAAATAAACTTATCTTACGTGGAATTAAATTTCACCACCACAATGTCCGAGTTCTCCATATGTATTATTGATATAAGTATAAAACTTGGGCACTGTGGTGGTAGAGTATAACTCCATTATGGATAAGATTTTTCTATGATAAACTGTCACACAGTGGTGCTATACAGTAATATTCACTGATGTCCACCTTTCGAGCACAAACTATTGCCACTCATAAATCATATCGAGTTACTCACACAACTTTTTTCCTTCATTTATATACATGTGTGGAATTGATGATTAGACATTTGAATAAAAATCAGTAATATGGGATAATGTAAATTCAGAAATGATAATGTGAGTGTTATTGATCAAATACAATCAGATGGGAAATAAGACGAGTGTTTTTATAGTCATAATAAGTAACTTGTTATAATGTACTTGAATTGAAATAGAATGTTGAGATTATTTATTATCCTCCTCTGATTTGACTGACTGACTGGTGGTAATAATATCTTCCATACATATTTCTGGTATTTGCATTGAGTCATTTCTGTTGCATGTGTTGTATTGAGTGTAGACTCAATTAACCAGACAGGATTCAGTCTGTCTGTCTGTCTGTTTTCGACATAGAACTTTGCACAAATGTGCGGAAGTTCAAGTCGCCACATTCCGTGTAGCACGCGAAGCAAGAGAAGAAAGTACAAGATTCAGTAATCAATCTCTCTCGCTCTCCACCTATCTAGATTACTTTTTCGAATTTTAACCCTCTCCCACCAGCCTATTGTGTGGTTGTGTGTTAATGCATGCAGTGCAATGTAGTGCTGAACTTTTTTCTAAATTACTTATCTTTTCACGGTCAACCATTCTTACCTTAGCCAATAAATCCTTATGTTCCGACAATCTGATTATCCCCACCCGATCTACTAGTTTGATCCATATAGTTGACTTAACTCACAGTCATTGTAGGATATTTTGTAAATTATATTGTTTTGTTTAATTGGGTCTACCGAGTTCTCCATTCGCCTTAGTTTCTCACATTGTACTACTGTAACATCAGAAGACAAGGGCCAGGCAACAGATCGTTTATTTTGGAAATCAACACATATTTATATATATTTTCATGTACATTATTATAGATTATTGTTAGGGGAAAAACACAGTCCTCTGATTGGTTGTTTCTTACAGAAAGCTAACTCTGTATCTCTTTATGACTGTTTCTTGAATGTCAGGTCATCTATATATGTTAACTGTATCCGCCTACGCAAAGCCTTTGTTCTCATTTTTCTCACGACGAATATTGGGGACATAAAGATCGAAGTAAATTACTGTCCACCAATATTTTGACTAACAGCCAGCTCTCTCACACACACACACTATAACATACAATTTCAGTAATCAGTAATGAAGAACTTTATTTAAAAAATGAGGTTTTATTTCATCTTAATAATCTCTCTAGTAATTGTTCTTTTATTATTTTCCTCCTCATGTCCACCAATTAGGCAATTGGAGAATTTATCCTAACACATCCTAATATTCGTATAAAACCACGTGGAAATATTTATTCAATTAATGAAGGTTATGCTAGCCTATGGGATAAAGCAATTACAGAGTATGTGAAAAGAAAAAAATTCCCAGAAGTAAGTTATTATTATTATTATTATTACTATTGCTGTATTGAAATACTATCAGTTTGCGGACTGTTTATTGTTATTATTATTCCTTTTGATTCCTAGAGGAACATAGGACTTCAGCCGCGCGTCTCCATTGCGTTCGGTTCTCTGCAAGAGTTTTCACCTGGCTCCAAGTCTGCTCACATGCTTTCATCTCCTCTTCACATGACCTCCTCCAAGTCACCCTCACACTGACGAACAACTCGCTACTTCGCTATTCGGGTTCCGCTCGAGCAATGGCTTGTCTAGTGATGTCACTTGATGGTTTCCTCAGAATATGGTCAATCCACCTCCGTTTCCTCTTGTTTATTTGTTGCACAATCGGTTCCTGATGGGTTGGTTCGCTCCCAGAGATCCATATTGCCGATCTTTTCTGGCTGGCCATCTTATCTTGAGTATTGAGCGAAGGCTCTTTATGACGCGCCAAGTCTCTGATCCGTATAGTCGCACTGACTGACTTCACATTAGAGTTGAAAATCCGGATCTTATTTTTGATGTTGAGTTCTGTTGACCTCCACACAGACCTGAGAGTAATGAAAGCCTGTTTTGCCTTCCCGATTCTGGTTTTGATATCCTCGTGAATTCCGTCCGCCTGTGGTTGAAACGATGCATCCCAGGTAGGTAGGTGAAGGAGGTTGTTTCTTTCAGGTTCCTCCCATTTATGCTAGCTGATTGTTGTCTGTTGTTGTTGTTGTTGCTGGTGGTGGTGTTGGCCAGGAATCTTCATCACCTACCTCTGGTTTCTCTATGTTCACCTGAAGGATGTCCTATCTTCTCTGGATGCTTTTTCTGCGAACTTGTTGCTCTTCACTTGCATATCTTCCAGTGTTTGTGGGAAATAAGACATATATCGCATCGGCGAAGTCCAGATCCCCTAAGTTGATTTTGTGTGAGTCCATTTTATGCCTGTTTCCTCGCTTCCCGCTGCGTGTTTGTCGCATTATCCAATCTACTGCAATCAGGAAAATCATTGGCAATAGTAGGCAGCCAACCAGCCTTTTCTTACTCCCGTCTTCACTTATTCGAAGGATTCCGTAAGTTTCCCGCTGTCGATTACCTGGCATGCAGCATTTTCATACAATTGTTGGATGAGATGTATCATTGTCGATGGCACCCCTTGGTAGTAGCGAAGTAGTTGACAAATCACCTCACGATCGACGCTGCGCTATCGAAGGCCTTTTCAAAGTCGATGAAATACTTGTAAGAATAATAATTTGAGCATCCAGTGTGTGTACGAAGACGGAAAATCAAAAGAAGATCTTTTTTCTGAACGTTTCTCTGTGTAAGCCGCCACAGCTTCTTCTTCAGCAGAATTGCTCGAATTTTATTATATTATTTTTCCCTTGGGTTCCTAGTGGAACATAGGGCTTCAACTGCACTTTTCCACTTGTTTCTGTCTTCTGCTGTACGTTTCGCCTGCATCCATGTTAGTCCATACTGTTTCAACTCCTCTTCACACGATCTCCTCCATGTCACCCTTACACCGACGTCCCACTCGCCACTTTCCTTTCGGGTTCCACTCGAGCAATGGCCTGATGCGCGATGTCACCTAGTGGTCTCCTCAGCGAGTGTCCAATCCATCTCCACTTTCTCCTGCATATTTGTTGGCTGGCGATTGATTGGTTCTTGTTTTGTTTGTTCCTATAGTTTCTTGTTGGTGATTCTTTCTGGCCATTTGATCTTCAGTATAGAGCCAGCGAAGACCGCTGTTGTTGATAAATGTCTGCAATAGGCTGTTAGAAATATTCCTTCTGACCCGCCAAGTTTCTGATCCGTATAGAAGAACTGACTGACTTGACGTTTGTATTGAAAATCCGACCGAATTTTGTTGTTCATTCTGGCTGAGTGACGAAGATTTCCAGATTAGTTTGAGGTTGATGAATGTGTTTCTCGCTCGCCTTCCCGATTATCTCCCGATTTGACATCGTCGTCCGTTCCTTCTCTTGTGGTTGAGACAATGCTCCCTAGATAGGTGAGTGAATGAAGTCACCTGTTTCAAATCCCTCCCATTGATGGTGATTGACGCTGGACGTTGCTGTTGTTGTTGTTGATGGTGGTGATGGTTGGTTATTTTCATAACCTCCGTTTTGTTTATGTTCATCACCTGGAGTCCTGTCTTCGCCGGCTCCTTCTTCGACCAGTTTGTCGGTCGGTTTTCACTTGTAAGTCTTCGATTTTGTGACACTGACATCAAACATAAATCATCGCTGCGCGAAATCCAGGTCTTCTAGGTTCTTCACGTCGTTCCAGGATATCCCTGTCTTCTCGTTTCCCACTCACTGTCTGACGCATAATCCAGCCCGCCACAATTAGGAATATCATTGGTGTACAAGCTGTATAATCGTATGTATATATATATGGTTTTTAAGAAGTCTTATCCGGTGAGGGAATTGAATCATAGGTGGAAATGCATAAAATAATAATAATAATAGTAGGTAGTATGAAATGCAATTAAAATTAGAATGTTTGTGATTATAATCATAGTTAAATGTGTGAAGTGGCAAAACAATTGATGTCTTATATAGAATAATTCATAAGGTGTATAGAACTTCAAAAGGGGTGTGAAATTATTGGCTTAGTAGGCAAATAGAATAGGAAAAAGATTGGTTTTTAGGTTTTTTTTTGTTAGATTAGTTGGGGCATTTCATCATGAGCTGACATTGGTTAGAAAACCAGCTACACATCCCACGAATGGGTTCGAACCCAGGACCTTCCGATTACAAGCAGAGCTCGGATTACAATTCAGTCACTGGGATCCGATCTAGTGGTTCATGAATTCCAGCTTCTTCCACTTCTCCATTTATATAGCGGCTGAATAGTCTGCTAACTCGCCTTGTAACTGGTAGGTCTTGTGGAGATGTGTACTACTGAAGAGTCCTAAACTAGGCTGACTTAACAGCTACCCAATACTCCCTACAGGTGGTTTCCCCAATGGTTCTCTAACTGATGTCAACTTGTGAACAAACCTGTAAACACTTCACCGTGACTGGTGGTGACTAGCAATGGGATCCAAGATGTGCATATTTCGTCCTTTTCGTGACTCATCAGCCCAATGTATCTTCATTCCAAGTGAGTGATGATAGTGTTCTCATTGAAACTCAAACATTCATCGTTTCAAACGTCAAAGTCCTGTCCACTTGGCCACGACAGTTTACCTCCTGTGTAAGGCGTGTTAGTTGTTATTACTTTGCTCATTCTGGATTTTCACTTCTAGTTAAAATCAACCAGAATAACTTCATTTTAATCCTTAGACATCACAGGGAGTGGATGCATCTGTGCCAGCCATTGAGAACGGTTTTGAGGCATAACACCAATTGTCTCCAGTCGTCATTGCTTCTTACCATTCGGAAGACCTCAACCAGGCTGAAAGTATATACTTCCGTGACTGGCTTAAACTAACTGTTATGGATTTCATTGACCGGTGCCACGTTTTGGTTTGGCCACTGCTAACTCTTTTCCAGCCTGACCCTATGTCAGCTAACATTGCCCGTTGTCGAAGAAGGCGATGACTAGACATACGTAACACATGTCCTAACCATCTCAGTCGATGTAATTTCACAGCCTCGTCGATTGATTTCCCCTCCTTACCTAGCACTGAACACCTAACCTCAATATTGCTCACCCTATCATACCACCTTAAATAGGAAATAGAACGCAAAAATCTAAGGTCAAACATTGCTACCTAGCGGTTTCATGTCTTCCATTTCCAGTGGTCGTGTCTCACATCCATAAAGGTGAACGGGACGAGCTGCTTAGTAATTGACACATCCTTTTATTGATAAACAGTAGGATATCACGTCTACTAAACCAGATATGGCGTAAGTTGGCAAATGCCAAACGAATTTTCTCTATCTATGCTAAGATTTTGTCATTAATAAAACCTCTGGGGCTGATACACCCCTCCCCCAAATAAATAAATTGGTTAACACTTTACCACTTCACTCGCAATCTTTAATCAAGGGTTCAATGTAGTCCAGTTGTGTAGCATCATCTTACATTTGACGGAAGAAAATCGTATTTCAAACATTCGCAGATTGCTGCTCAAGGTAGTAAGAGGACTCTATATTTTGTCAGGGAAAACTGGATATTTGTTTCCTCCTATTATTGAGACTCTTCTACAGCGCGAACCCTTGACGTCTTTAGCCGTCAAATCCATAGCCTTCGGGTTACTCAGCCAATCTCGTTGACCACCCAGAGATACCTAGGCTGGAATTCAGTGACCTGCGAATTCAATCTTCAGTTGATTATTAACTGCTGGAAGGGTGTCCTGAATCTATAGTGAGAAGTCGCAACCATCAGTCAAGTCCGCCATGTCAAGGTGAAGGGGATACCTATCGAAGACATCATTGGTAAAAGGATTGTGATATATCTCGACAAATGTAGAATCTGTGGGTCATAGAACTTCGGCCTTACAAGGCCGAATGGTCAGTGAGCTTGGTGTCATAAGCTGAAGGTCGTGGGTTCAGTCGCTAGTGGGGAGTCGTGTGGGACACTGAGGAAGAGTACCAAAATAAGATGAAATAGCTGTCTAGTGTTCCCGGGTTTTCAGTAATTTCTCTAACTGATGTTGATTCATGACGCAAGTCTAATAATTGAAATATGAATATTTTATCAACAATAAGGATGAAAAAGGGAGGCAATCTGTGATAACACGAATAACGAAGAACAGTATGATTAAACAAACAAATGTTCAGGTGGAAGTAGTCAATAAAGGCTAAGAGAAACAAATGAACCGACTAAGCAATGCTAGATTGTAAGGGAAGTAAATGAGACACGTTTTTAATGAAGATCTGATAAGATTAAGGAATGATAAGAAAGGGGTTGAACGTATAAGTAAGGGTGGTGTAGAAATCATTAATTGGTTATGTCTTAATAAGTCAACATGGGAGGGATAATGGCTGTGTGTACGAACTTCTTTTGAATGCATAGTTTAGGTTTAATAGTTCGAATGCCTATCGCCTGCCTCAGCTGTGTGCGTGCAGTAGACGAATACGAAGTCTGTTGGAACGATTCAGTGGATACGATAAATTACTTTAAAAGCTCTCGTTTTCTCCACTGCATGACCACTATCAATTAAATGAGACAAAATTGAGCTACGGATTGTTTTTGTCTGTCCTTTGCCAAACCACCACGATGGGAGATGTCTAGTAGTACGCCCAACATAAATATCATTGCAGGTGCAGTTGAATTGATAAATGCACATAGATGTGACAAAACTATCTAGCTTATCTTTGCGTTCCAATCATTCGTCGACTAGAGAATGACAAACATAGGTATGCTGCGTAAAACGTTCTCCGTATACTCATGGGAAGTCTCAGCAACAAAGTCTCACTAGATAAGTCACAATTAAATTGTAACTTAATAGGTTAATATGATTAGCTTGACTAATATAGTATCTAAAGTCCTAGGCTGAATAATATTGCGTAAACTAAGTGGTGCTCGCGAGGCAAAAACACGAGAGAACCAGGCAGGCTTTAGACCAGGAAGAGGGTGTATCGATCATATCTTCACCCTCCGACAGATTCTGGAACATAGTCATTCCTACCGGCGCCCAACAATCACTATATTCCTTGACCTAAAGGCGGAATTCGATTCTGTCGACCGAGAGGTTCTCTGGCGATGCTTGGCTGTAAAGGGAATGTCGAGAAAATACATTGCATTGATTAAGGCACTCTACTCGTACTCATACAGCCAGGTGAGGGCTTACGGCGAGTTGTCATCTGAACTGGTGACGACCAGTGGTGTCCGTCAAGGATGCCCATTATCTCCTTTTCTATTCAACTTCATCATAGATGTGTTAATGGACTTAACCCTAGGTGACTTCAGTGACTCAGGAATTGACTTGCTACCGGGGAATAATCTCGTTGACTTGGAATATGCAGACGATATAGTCCTTATAGGCGAAGACGCTGACGAAATGCAGAGTCTTCTAAACACCTTGAGCCGCAATCTACGAATGTTTGGCATGCGATTCGCTCCCGCCAAATGCAAGATGATGTTACAGGACTGGACTACATCGACGCCTAGTTTAAAAATAGGAAGTGAAGTGGTAGAGCACGTTGACCGCTTCACTTATTTGGGAAGTACCATCAACCAGTGCCAACGGGTTGATCTCTGACGAAATCTCGTTTCGCATTTCCCAGTTTACGCCGTCTCTGGCGTAGACGAGATATCCGGCTGACTGGCTATCGACCAAAGGGTGGGTGTACTGCTCATCAGTCTGCTCCGTCCTCCTTTATGGCTGTGAGACATGGTCATTGAGAGTGGATTAGCTGTCTTTGATCATAGGTGCTTGCGTTCTATCTCCCGTGTGAAATGGCATAATAAGGTCAGCAATATTGAGGTTAGGCGTCGACTTCTAGGTAAACAGGGGAAATCAATCGACGAGGCTGTGAAGTTACACCGATTGAGATGGTTAGGACATGTGTTACGTATGCCTAGTCATCGCCTTCCTCGACGAGCAGTGTTAACGGATATAGGGTCAGGCTAGAAAAAAGCTAGCGGCGGTCAAACAAAAACATAGCACCAGTCAATGAAATCTACAACAGCTAGTTCAAGCCACGTAGGAAGGTTTAGACTTCCTGGTTGGGATCCTCGGGACGGTAACAACCAATGGCAGGAAACAATTAGTGATGTATCTCAAAATCGTTCTCAATGGCTGGCGCAGATTCATCCACTCTTTGTGACTTATGATTTCCAATGAGACTGTTTTGTTCTTCGTTATTACTATTCCTTTGTCTCACACCTCTGTTTACTGTCTCTATTGTGCATTTCTCCTACTTTCTTGTTTTGGTTTGTGTGCTCCATGGAGGGAGTGTGGCGACTTGAACTGGTGCACATCGGTGGAAAGTTCTATGTCGACCAAGAGACAGACATACAGAACTTAATAGGTAGAGGCGTTTTAGGTGCATTCAGAGTCTCAGGTTTTCTCTCTGATGTTTTCATATGTTTCTTTATAAAACTACTCGAATAGTCCATCTCCATCAAGAAATCGTGAATATATATTCAAATTCCTTTTGTAAGAGGTCATCCGTACATATCTTTCTTGCTCTGCTCGTAAGACCTTTAACGACATTTCTTTTATATTGAATGAACACGTAACTAAAGAAGTGTGTGTATCTTGCCCTGTGAATGTGCTTTTTCTATACACGCTTTTGAATATTTGTTTAAATGATTGCGATAATCTCCTATTGTGCAGACAGGTTTGTAGTGACAGCCATCGAGTTTGAAATAGCTGGCAGCTTTTGAATGGGGGAGGTTTCTTTCGATGAACTTAACTTCTAACCATTACCAGTATAACAGAGTTCCGTGAATAGCTATGCTGAGATTTATCGATTCATCACTCGACAAAACTCTATAAAGAAAAAAGGTTAAATTCCATTATTCAAGTCATTTAGTTGAAAGTGGGATTGTTACCTTCCCTACTTATTCTCAATTGTTCGTGGAATTTTAACTCATCTAGCTTGTTGCTTTTTAAGTTTTTTTTTTAATCTAATCTTTTAGTCTGGTAAACCGTATGGTGCTCGTTATATTGGATCTATGGTAGCTGATGTTCATCGTACTTTAGTGTATGGTGGAATTTTTCTTTATCCAGCGACTAAAGCATCACCTAAAGGAAAAGTAAGTAATACCAATCGAACAGTGTTCAAATGTTGTTAATACTGCCTACATTTTATCTTTTCTTTACTGGTAAAGCTTTTATGGTGGTAGATTGGTGATGGAATCACACTGGCTCTACAAGGTTTATTGGTATAATTTGAAATATTATTATTATTATTTTAAGTTTGACCGAGAATTGAAAACTATTGAAAACCAACTAAGAAGTACTGGACAGCTGTTTTGTCCTAGTATGGGACTCATCGGGACTACGCATCCACCACAGGGGGTTCGAACCCAGGACTTTCTGGTTACATGTCAAACTCGCCAGTGTGACTGGCTACAAGACGATGTTGACTGGAGTTCCATTGAAAAGTCGTAAGTAGTGGTGTTCATCCGGTTGTTAAATAATAGTCACTACATAAAAGAAATTGAATAAGTGGATTAGAGTTACGTAATAAGATAAGTAATCTAATGAGTGAATTTCGCTAAGGATGTGCACTTAGAAAAAAAAGAGGAAAATATGGAATTATATGTAAGAATTCTAGAGAAATACAAGAGTTGTAAGGAGTTAGAAAGGACAAACGCACAAACAAACAAATAAAAGTCAGGTTAGGAGAAATCAACACGGTTGTTACCCCCATAATAGTAGTAGAAGTGGTTGAATAATTTTCACTTGAATGCATAACTCTGCTGAGTTTTTTTAAATGAATACCCAAAGCTTCAGCAATACAAAGAAGACGAAAGCGTATTGTCTTTGGTAGGCTGTTCTTCGCTTCGTAGATCACTTTGACGGAGGCATTTGTTGGGATGGAATGACCCCAGTGTTCACCTAGTGTGTTTGATTGATTACTGGACTCCTTATAGTGCCGCTATTTCTTTTCTGCATCCGTGTGGAATAGTGTTCTTGATATCCTTTAGACTTAGTAGGTGTTGAACGACCAATATGCCTGGCTCCAGAGCAACAGGTGAATTGATATATGCACACATAGAAGTGGTCAGATGCGAGACCTTGTCATTCAGCGTCATGCATACCAATAGATGACTGTGAAGCACCAATCTTAACCTGGTTGATTAGAATGTTAGTCTCGAAGATGTTGAAATTCCTCTCTTACGGATATCACAGACTGAGTCTCCCTTGAAATCCAGGTTCATGTAAAGTTTCTTTTTTCGAAGAAGTAATGTTTCGTTCCTCTGGAATTTTGCTTTGAAATTCCTGTCAATAAATCTTTGTGAGTATACATTTTGGATGAAGGTTTCTTTTAGAAGATGTAGTTCTGCTTCCAGGGCGTCAGGATTACAGATATCTCGAATCCGAATGGCAAGGGATTTAATTAGATTTCGTCTTCGTTTGACAGACACACACCCAACTGTAGAAACTTCTTGGTTAGCCGTTCCAAGTAGGTCTTCTATGGATACTGATCTTCGTAAGGTTTCGTCGAGTCATCTTGTTAGTTCCACGCCAAGAAAGAGAATTTTGAACTGGTTTTCTATTTGTAAAGTGAATTTTATTGCCGAGTAGCAGTTGTTAAATACTTGTAGCAGTTGACTGGGGTCGTAACTATTATCGCAAATGATGAAAATATCATCTACGTACCTTTTATCTAGTTGTGAATTGTCAATGGCCGACTTTCATGGACCGTTCTCAAGGCTAGCTTACAAGGCGACCTTATGGACTCGATTCAACGAACCTTGAATATTTCAACTTCTATCAGTTAACGCTATAAATACATATCTCTTAACCGACAGTAAATGGCTAGTCGTCACAGTATATCGCAAACTGGTAGAAGTTGGAATTCATGGGCCATTTGGTCGAGTTCCAGTGGCCTCTAATGGTCTACGAGCTCGCCTTGTAACCACAACGTGCTGAGTCTGAACTCCTGTACTGGGTTAAGAGTATTGCTGAAGCGGAGTCCCAAACTAGGCTGATGGAACAGCTGTCCAGTACCTCCCTATTGGATTTCAGCTCTCATGATGAATTCCAGTCCTCTGGACACTGATTTATTCGAGGACCATTGGCACACTGAACGTTTTTTCTGCTTGTCTCATCCATGTGTTTCTTCATTTTATTCGGTATGTAGTGAATTTTCCATCATTTAATGTCTTTTAATTCCAGTTGAGACTTCTCTATGAATGTAATCCAATGGCATATATTATGGAACAAGCTGGTGGTATGGCAACCAATGGAAAAATACCCATCTTAGATATTCAACCACAAAGTATACATGATCGATCGCCGATATTTCTTGGTAGTAAAGAAGATGTCAATGAATTAATGGAACTTATTGAAAAATGTTGAAAGAAACAACAACAATTGTCTGTCAATGCTTTTACGCGCCTCCCTACTGCTGTTTCTTTCTACCGCTGCTTTTCGCTTTTCTATTACTTATTATATTGAGAATATTGAATGGTGTGTTGTGTGTAGACATTAGGATGAAAATTCTGCTTTCTTGCTCTTTCTTTTTTCTAACTGAAATCGTCAGCATTACCATGATTATCATTCAGGGATATGTGAGTGTGTGTGTGTGTGTACTTTCTGCTCAGGGCAGTGTTTGTTCTTCTTTTTCGCTCTTTTGACTCTCATCAATTTGTAATTTAGTTGTTGTTGTCGCTTTTTTTCTCATGTCTTTCGTGTTTTCTATTCTTATGCTTCAGTTATTTTGTTTACTTGCGTTTTCAATGCGTTTCTTTCTTTATAAATATTAATTTAATTTATGTGGAGAGTTATTCACATGTTTATTTACCGTTGGAAGTTACTTAGTTAGTTAGGTGAACTTGTACTTCATTGGTTTTGGCGCTCAATTTCCAACTAGTAGGCGTACACAGGTTTGAACGCCTTCTCCACACTTGTCGAGGTTTGGATCTTCAACAACTTGGAGGCCACTTTCAATTAGTGTCAACAAAAAGTAGTGCTCATGATTAATGTGTGTAGCCACCATCTGTCGTGCTAGATCCTGAGCTTTGTGGCTACACTTATCCGGCCACCCTATGTGGAATATGCATATATGAGAGCACAACAACAGACTAGAATATTGTTGATTCTCAATCATAGCCCATTTCGTGTGCTCATTACGTCATTGTGGAGCTATCCACGTTGAGGACTATTTTAAAATTCTTATGTGGAATATAGGGCTTCAGAGTCACATCTTCACTTCGTCCGATGCTTTACAGTCCGCAATAGTTGGCTTCATGATTACCCACAGATTTTCATAGCCGCCAAAAACGATTTCCTCCATGTCGTCGTTGGTGTGACGCCAACGTGTGATTTGACAGTCTCCAAAATGGCGTATGTCAGCTTATTTGTGCAGTTATAGTAGTAGTAGTAGTAGTAGTAGTAGTAGTAGTAGTAGTAGTAGTAGTACGCGTATAGACGAAATTAGGGTCGTTTTCCGACGAAGCTATTTGAAGTGGGGACGAATTTTTCGGTTGCAGGCTTTTAGGCGGTGGGTAGGCATTTTGGTAGGCTAATTCTACAGTCAATCATTGCAGGTTTAATCGTGGGAAATATTATTCGCAGATAGATGGCTCTGCTTTCCGAGATATATCGAAAACAACCCATCTGGTAACCAGCTTTTTCTGTATGCATAAGCCTTATGAATGTGCCTAAAATATATATAAATACGTGTTGATTTTCGTAATAAATCGATCTGTTGCCTGGCCCTTGTCTTCTTGTAGTAGGAGTATATATGTGTTATTGATGAAACACGCAAATGTCCAAAACGTTTCCTATAGGTATTAATAGTGAATTATTGTATATCCAGAGTTTAAGCGCTCTAAATTAAACAGAATTCCGTAATTTCGAGAACTTCGTGGTGAGCAATTACAAAGAAATGAGAGTTTTATATATTCGAGTTAAAAGTAACGCACTGATAGAAAGGCACGGCACCACATTCATATTGCTTCATATTTCATCATGTTGCGTCATATTGCATCTAAATACCTCATAATTTTCTTAGGATTTATAATAAAGAAAGCAGCACCCAAAGAAGATAAGTTAAAGAAAAATACACATCGTTGCGTTTACACTTTAAACAATGCACCACAGGATTTGAAATATAAAGTTGATGTGTGATATAAGATGAGAACAACAGTGTAATAGTAACGAGGAAAGGAAAACAAAAACTAATGGGACTATTTGTTAGAGTGCCTCAGTAAGTTGATCGTGTCATTCCCAACGGATTTCTCATCACATAACAGCTGTGCCAGATATGGTATTGTGGTGTTTTTGTACTTGGTAGTCCTAGCATATAGCCAGCCTCCTATGGCTGCTTCTAGTTCTACCAGATGAAATGTAAGGAGAGAGAGCTGTGTATATAGAGGATGCTCGGGGTCTGACAATATTGTATTCGCTAGTTTCTTACATGACATTATACGTCTATCCATAATAGTTTCAACCAGTTGGCTTAACGATATCCCACTCGCCCTACTAACGGCTTTTAGTGCCCTTCTCAGCGAAGCAAAGTCTTTCTTAAGTAGTCCAGGAAAGATTAATGGGGAGCAGTAAAGGGGGATGGGTAGAATACAAGAATTAACAAACTGAGAAAGCAAAGACTGCTTTATGCCAGACTGCCTAAATTTCTTAACGTAGAGCGTTAAGCGAAAGGACCAGGAAAGAACGGTGGAAAAACCCAGCCCAATGTATTTGACATCAGATGTATTTTCAACCTCTATGCCGTCAATGAGAGTGGGGCCATGTGAGCTAACTAGTTGTTGTAGGTCACGTTTACGTCTGAAAGTGAAATTGACTACCTGACATTTAGAGGGATTTAGCTTAAGTTAGTTTGAAGAGGACCATTGACTAATTCCCGACAGAAAGTTATTCAATTTGGGACAATCTGACTGAGAGTTGACAGGCATAAAATTTGTGTTTTGATATCCTTACCTGCGCCATCCGCCTTTAGTTGAGGCTATGTTTTCTAGACAGGAAAAGGAATTGATATCCTTCAGAATTTCTCGCGTTTTGTTAGTGATTGTTGCTGGCTGTTGTTGTCGTCAGTTGGCTGGTTGTCTTCATCACCTCAGTCTTTCCAATGTTCACTTGGAGTCCTGTCTTTTGAAATTGCGTCTTCCTACAGCTTGTTGGTTTTCATCTGCATGTCATTAATTTTTTGTGATATGTGACTTAACTCACCCGTGATATCCAAATCTTCTAGAGTCTTCTTATTGCTTCAACGTCTTCTTGTCTTCTCGCTCCTCGCACGCTGTCCCTGTCACGCATAATACAGTCCACCACAATCAAGAATGTCATCGGTGACAGCAGGCAGACAGCCTTGTCCTAATCCTGTATTCACTTCAAAGGCTTCACTGAATTTCCATTTGTGGATCACTTGATACGTGGCATTGTCATCATATAGCCAGTCAGCTGTTGAATGACGCTGGTAAATATTTTGCGCACCGCACCCAATATGGCGTTGAAGTAGTTTTGAAATTGTTTCTTAGTCAACGCCGTCGAATGCCTTTTCAAAGCCGATATAATTGAGGTAGGCGTTTGACTGTCATTCTATTCTCTGTTCGATAATGATGATGCGTAGAGTTGCAGTTTGAACCGCATATGATTTGCCAATCCTGAATCCAGCTTGTTCCGAGAGATGTAGTTCTGTATCTAGTGTATTTTTTGTTCTCTCCTGGATGACCTGGTTAATATTTTCTTGGAACGGACAAGAGCATTATTCTTCGCCAGTTTGTGGAGAGGCCCTGTCATCCAACTCTCAGAAACTGTCAATCTCAATGTCCAGTTCTTACTACGCTGAACCTCACACTGTCCTTGGAAGACTTTCAGAAACAAATTGTAATAATCAACGCGAAAAACCAGAACACAGATTGGCGACTCGAGAATCCTTTATTCTTACACCAACATATAACCAACAATAATGTTATTACATGAAGATTTCTGATAGTTTTTTATCTTCCTCTGAGCAGCGAACGATGAGACGATGACTGCTGGATTGATGACTTCGCGAAAAGTATAGAGTTGGGTTTGAGCAAACAACCATGAATCGATCGTTCAATCATCAACTATATTGACAATAATAGTATTTCTAAAAATAAATATAAAAGCAACAACAAAAACAAAATAATACAAAAATAATAATAAATGCGAACAAAATGCCAAGAAGTATAGAGGAAAATAAAGCACATGAAATAATATCTCAGCATTGGGTAGTGAGCGTCGATCGAGAGATGACTTGGCAACTACTTCGCTACTACGAGGTACCACCGACAATTAAACATCTCACCCAACAGCTGTACGACAATGTTGCATGCCAAGTAATCCACAATGGGAAGATCACGGAATCCTCCGAAGCGAAGACGGGAGTAAGACAAGGCTGGCTGGTTGACCACTATCGCGAATTATTTTCCTGATTGAAGTAGATTGGATAATGCGACAGACAGTTACCGGGCATCAAGGAAACACGGATAAAATTGACTCACTCAAAACTTGGAGGATCTGGACTTCGCCGATGTGATATGTGTCTGATTTCTCACAAAACACTGAAAGATATGCAAATGAAAAGCAACAAGTTGTCAGAAGAAACATTCAGAGAAGAAAGAACTTCATGTGAACATAGAGAAAATAGAGGTAGGTGATGAAGAGTCCCGGGTAACACCAACACCAACAAAACAACAACAGACAAAAATCAGCCACCATCAAGTGACATCACTAGACAAGCCATTGGTCGAGTAGAACCCGGAAGGGAAGCGAAGAGTTGGTCGTCATTGCTAAATTAACTTGGAGTGGGTCATGTGAAGAGGAGATGAAAGCATATGGGTGGCAGACTTAGAGCCAGGTGGAAACTCTTGCAGAGAACCGAACTCAATGGAGACGGGCGGTTGAAGTTCTATGTTCTCTAGGAATTAAAAGAAATAATAATATAATAATGTTAGTGAGTGGGTAGTGGAAGCTATGATATGTTTATGCTTGGTGACAGTAAAGCTTTAGTCATACTAGAAGTTGTGAAGTGATATTTAAGAATGTTTTTCGCTAAGATGATCAGGGAATTTAACTGAACAACACCACGAAATCATAAAAAAAACATTCCGATTGATGTTTTTGTTGTCAGCTGTAATGCGGTGTTTGCAGTGATAGTGTGAGTAATCCTGCGTAATACGAAATTTTCAGATATTGACGGTGACAGCGGAATTGACTTGATTTTTACAGCTGAGTGAATGACTATTCGCTGAACTTTGTGTTTTGTATACTATTACAAATAATAAAGGTTTCATCTACATACCTTTTATACATTTGAAATCTTTGGATTGTAGGATTCAACTGACCATTTTCTAGACTGAACATTGAAA